GGACCGCCATGTGCAACTCAAGAACAGAGCCGTAGAAGAAACCAACCCAGGGGTGCCTGGGTGGCTCACAGGGTTGAGTGTCCGACTCTTGATTTTGGCTCAGGTCATAATCTCATGGTTCATGGGATCGAGCCCCCAGGTCAAGCTCAGCAATGATGCCATGGATCCTTCCTAGGGTTCTTTCTCTTCCTCTCTCTCTGCCCCTCACCGGCTCTCTCTCTCTTTCTATAGGTAGGTAGGTAGATAGATAGATAGACAGATAGATAGATAGATAAAAACTAACCTTGCCAACCCGTCTCCAACTTCCAGCTTCCAGGAAGAAAGACTAAGAAAACAGATTTCTATTATTTAAAGCACCCAGTGTATGGAACTTTGCTATGACAGCCCTAGATGACTGATACACTATTTAACTTCTTTGAGGCTCAGTTTACTGCCGTATAAAAACGGCTATCCATCCCGATCTTCAGGGAAGTGTTGCAAGGCTTAGACATGATTTATGGAAGGCAGGTATGGGCACTCTATGAATGATGTCTGGAAGTTGTAGTGACGACCATAATAGTAGAAAGAGGGTTGGTGATAGGAAAAATATTGTTGACTCTAGCCCACAGGGCCATTGAGGGGATCAATTGAGGGGATGATAATTTTGATGAGGAATATAAACTTCATCCTCCGGAATCAAAGTGCCTGAATGTGAACCTTGGCTTCACCACTGACAATGTACGTGATCTTGACTATTCTAAATCTCCCCAGGTTTCGATTCCCAACCCATTAAACATAACACATAGCCCACTGCATTGAGTTGTTAAGAATGGTTAACACCATGGGATACTTATTACTATGTGTCAGGACCTGTCTTAAGCCCTGTATTAACTTATTTAATATGCACAAATGGTTGGGGATTTGGTAATTTGGTTATCCCTATTTTTATAAAGTAAAGAATCTATGGCATAGAGTGAGAAAGTCTTCAAGTCACAGAGTTAGCGAAAGGTGTAGCTGGCATTCAAACTTGCACAGAAAAACGGAAATGAACGAGTAGAATGGTAGCTCATTAAACATTATCTCTTTGAACTTATTGTTCCTTCCTAGGCTTTGTTGCCGGTTTCCTCTTCAACTGGAAGGAAGCGTGGGTCGCGTTCCTACCAGGACTGGAATCTTAATCAGAGAGTGTTTGGAGACCTGTCCACTTCTGAAACAATACACTGGCATAAACGCCTTCGAGGGCTTTCCTTCAATTCCTGGCTCCCCTGGGGTAGACGTTAGTGCTCTCTGACTCCTGAGCACATGGTTCTGGCCCCTTGTGGGAGAGTGGGGCCATGTGACTAGGTCATCCAATGTAGGATGGACAAAAGTTTTGTGTGTCGCTATTAGAGCATTTAACTGCTAGTGTGAGACCCTTCTGAACTCAGTTTCCCCTTGACACAATGACCAGCCGTGGTTGTGAGGCTGCCTGTTCTGTCACCTGGATTCTTGAAAGACAGCAATGGCCGCAACATACTTCTGACACACAATAGACATGCGGCTTAAATGGGAAATAAGTTCTTGTTGATTTAAGCCACTGAGATTTCAGAGTTGATTGTTACTACAGTGCAACAGTCCACCTTAACTGATGCATCCATCCAATTTGCTCATTTCAATGTCCCGCCTCTTCCTCCTGGGAATCTTCTCTGCTTAATCACAACGCCCCAGGTCTTCTATCTCCTCCTCTGTTACTACCTCTTTCCTTCTACTTTTCGTTCTGTCTTTCGGTCCTGTGCAATTCCTTTCTACAGTCTTCCTTCAGTGGGGGTGTCTCCCTGGGGAAACATGAGTATACTTGAATCATTCTGTCTGCCCTCCTCCTGTTTCAAACAAGGCTCAGAATGTGGAACCCATCCTAGGTTCTGCTCATGAAATGCAGCCACTAGAGCCTGATTTCTGAGGACTTAGACACACTCTGGGTAACTGCAGCCAAATCAAGCACTGCAGAACTTATCTTTCCAATGATAAGGCTGTGTCCAGCCATGACCGCATGGAGTATGTCCACTTAACAAGGACAAGAGAAGCCGATTTGTCCCTAAAGGGCTTTGAAATTCACTCCACTAGCATGAAACGGGTCAATAAAAACAAGAAATGAAATTGAGGTCAGAGACTTTCTCTGGAGAGACAGTAAATAGCATCTGAGGCCTCCTCCACACCCCTGTCCCCACGGTGCTGCTGCAGCTTCATCGGCAAGGTGCCGATTAATAGCCAGAGGAAATGTCACTGCTGTGTGGTGTCCTGGGAACCACGGTCCTCTTTTCCCAGGAGGAAAGAGGGAGCTGTGAGGAAATTCTGCAAGCCAGGCTGCAGCCATCACAGGCAAGATTGCTTCAATTGCTAGTTCTATATTTGTAGCTAAAATCCCAGGGCTATATTCATTGATTATAATTGGGGATTTGGCTAGGGTGTAAGCATTTTAAGGGCAGGGATTAGATCTCGTTGAAGATTATCTTCAGTACCTTGCACGGTCCATGCCATAGAATAAATGCTTATGATTTTTGATGAGTGATTCAGTGGATATATGGATGTCTTAGTCTATTCGGACTGCTGTAACTAAAACACTGGGTGGTTTATAAATTAATTAATTTATTTATTTATTCATCACAATTCTGGAGGCTGGAAAATCCAAGGTTATGGCATTCACAGATTTGGTGTCTGGTGACAACCTGCTCCCTAGATGGCTGTTATTTCTAATGTCACTTCACATGGCAGGAAGACAAGGGAAACTCTGTCAGTCCTATTTTATAAGAGCATGGGTCTCACTCATGAGGGCTCTGTCTTCCTGTCTTAATCACCTCCCAAAGGCCCCCACCTCCTACTACCATCACCTTGAGGGTTCGTATTTTAACATATGAATTTCGGGGGGGATGCAAATGGTTAAAAAACATAAGTTGTTCGTTGGCTGTGTCCTCTATTAAATTATATCTATTCTGTCATGTGCACACGTGTATCCCCCACATTTGCCACAGCGTCCTGCTCAGAGCACCCCAATAAATGTTTGTGCAATTAATGGTCTAGCCATCTTTTACATTAGGAGAGGCAAATGTTGCCTGGGTGAGAAAAGTCCACTCATACAATTAATTAAACACTTACCGAGTGTTGGCTGTGTGACTGTCCCTGCCAGCGACAGGGTTGAGGACACCAATGAGGCAAGACTCTGCTCTCCTCACTTTAGTGAAGAAGATAGGGCTTCCTGCTAAGGATCTGCAGGGCAGTAAGTAAAGAAAGCATGGGGGCAAATGAAAAAGAGAAAAAATCTTCCCCAAAGACTGAAGGAGAGCAAGATACGGCCTCTGAGAGTGATGACCCTTGATGGGAGGGCTCAGGAGATGACAGGAGTTTGCTGTGTGGATCTGTCAGAGGAAGGGTATTCCAGACAGAGTTTCTATCCATTTTAACACCTGGCCTTTCTGATAACCCTGGACATCTAACCAGCACAGGGACTGTGGGCCATCCTGAAAACCTTCCTCCAAACTTGGGCTTCCTGAATCTTAACAAGATACACTCTTCAATATGGTTTGTTCCATCTTTCAAAGCTCTATCAAGCCTCATCCCCTCTGGGAAACCTTCAGACTAATCTAGCAAAGATTTCTACTCTGTGGGCTCAGAATCTATCAGCTCTGTCTCAAGCAAGCTGTGTGATCTCAGGGAAGTCACCTTCATTTTTTTTCATCTGCTAAATTAGGGTTTCAAGAATACCCTTCCCTCGAAATCACAGGATAATTAATGACACAGCACCTGGTAGTTCATCAACCTTTCAGTTCCTTGTTTTTTGTTTTTCTCATCTATGAAATGTTATGATAATAAAATGAGCCAACAAAGGTAGAACACTTAGAACAGTGAGCGGCACACAGCAAGCATATATGAGTGTTAACTATTATAATTCCTACTACATGACATGTCCATTCCTTAATAGATACTGCTTGGTATTAATTACAATAATAGTACATGAGAGCCCTCTTTATTACTCTGAACCTTCTTCCCACACTGATCTTGATCATTAAAGAATTGGTGGCCTGAGATCAGAGTTCCTGTTTGGGAATTCTAACTCCTGGCCCATGGTCCTTTGGTCATGGCACCAGCCAGCATGCTCCTTAGTTAAGAATCAAGGCTGGTGAACCATCCAAGCTTCAGGCGCTCAGCTCCTCTGAGCCTCCTGCCCTCCTCCTGGCTAGAGAACACCGTGGGCTCTGCCTTTTCCCCAGCAATGCTGGCAACATAGGATCTTATGCTGCTAAAAATATGCAGCTCAGGATTCAAGGTGAACCAGATGGACTGATTTTCAACTTGAACAAAAGATGAGACAGAAAGAATGTAGTATTTAGTGGCTTCTGCTTGGGGTTGAGCGGGCTGGGAGAGGTAAGGTTTTATCTTAACTACTAAAGGATATTTTTTAATCCAATAGAGTTTCTAACTGGTTTGGTCAACAGTTATTAATGTAGATTCACTAGCAACGCCTTCTTAATGGAAGAGGGTGAGAAGCTTCTCAATTTGAGACACAGTCCCTCTGGCATTAAGGACTTACCCGTCTTCCAACTTGACTTTTATCTCTGGGCTTCCTCCCTGGTGATTCCTGGTCCTTGATGGTTACAGAAACTTAAGATTCAAAAACACTTAGAACCTTGTCTTCTAGGGGATTCTGTGAATCATGAGTTCTGAACTAAAACTACATATGTAATATTTCTCCAGCAATAATGATGGGAGGTGTAGGTGCAGGGTTTGCTCTGTATGGTTTACAGTGGACCTACAGCATATTTTGGTAACTAGGAATGCAGAGACTGAAGAAATGAAAATATTGCAAGAAATGTTGCAGCGCTTGGTATATTTAGTGAATAAAAAAGTAAAGAAAGTCTGAAGCCATGCACCATGGAAATCATCTTGATAATTTTCTAATGTTGACAATCGGTATCTATTGAAAATTTTGGCTAGATCATAGGCTAGATACTTTCCAATGCAACACTCCCTATAATCCTCATCAGCAGGGTGGTGACAAAGGAAGCAGTATGAGGCTCAGAAGAACTAGTAAGTTTGCCTAAGACCACACAACCAGGCAATGAAGAAGGAAGGATCAGACCAGGTCTCCAACATCAATGTCCTGGATGCTACAGCCAAGTCTGTCTTTAAGTCCAGGGACAACCAGAGTTTGAATTCTGGGAGTATGGCAGAGTGGGGTTTGTCCAGGTGGAGTCCCCAGTCTGCAGTATTGGTGTCATACGGGAACTTGCTAGAAATGCAAGTGCTCTGGCCCACCCAGACACACTGAATCAACAACCCTGGGGGTAGAACCAAGCCATCTGGACTTTTCAGCAAGTCCTTTGCATGATTCTGACGACGACTGTTGTGTCAGTAACGTTGGCCACAGCCTCAGAAAGGCAAAGGAAATTGCCTACAATCCTAGAACAGCACTAGGTTTTGAAATGAGGTTCGTCTTCCCTTAAACTTGTAATGTTGCATGAGGTGTTTTCTAGTGTAGAATAAGTTCTTTAGTGTCTGAGCTTTAGTTTTCTTAGCTGCCAATTAAAAACAGTGGCCAAAGATGAAGATTCTGGAAATCATTAGCATATCTCCTATTTACTAGTCATGTGGCACAGGCAATTTGTTAATCTCTTTGTGATCTGGTTCCTCACCTGCTAAATGCCTCTTCAGGCTGTCGTGGCCATCAGTGAGAAACTGCCTGATCAGTACCTTTGCACAGTGCCTGGCACAGAAAAGAAGCTCAGTGACATGTGAGTCTGTTCGTGGACATTAATTGCTCATCTTCTTTCTCTCTAAATAAAATGGACAATATCCTTACCCAGTGCCTGGAGCATAGTAGGTGCACAGTAAATGCTCAGTCCTTATGGTTCTTTCTAATGGAGGCTTCTTTTATTCTCCTTGACAAGGTAAGTATCTCCCCAAGTGGTGTTTCACCTCCTGGATCTTCTTCCTGCAGCCAACTCCCTTAATGTCAAGCAGTGAAAATGGATCCCCAGGAAATAAATTCCAAAGCTATTGTAATGGAAAGAGTCAGCTTCAGTCAACTTTACCATTAAACTCTTAATAAGAGAGTCTGCCCTATAAGGGAGTCGCCTTGCAGCACTTTCTCCTAAGAACTCTGGTTATTAACTATAACTCCCTGGAGATGTACTGCCCCCCCCCCCCCTTCAGAGCAGCCTCTGTTTTTCTCTAAGGAAGCCCTGGCGAGTCTCTGCATCCCACTTGGTAAAACAGTGATTTAATAAGATGCTTAATTATATTTGAACCAACAACGATATTTTATGGAATACTGTAATTGCATTTTCCATTTTGCTAGAAAATCGAACGCTGAGAAGCCTGTGAACTTGTCACATCAGTGTGCAGCCTGGACAACTGACAGACCCAACACCAAATGCTGTGGTTCCTTTTGCAATCGTCTGTAATTCTCCAACTCTGAGCAACAGGTTTGGAGGTCTCTCTGAACCCAGCTCCAGAGGAAACACTCGATACACAAGTATAACTTAATTGGCGATGTAGATGCGGACATTAAGGAAGGCTGGGTAGACAGGAATTGTATACAAAGAGCCTACAGCTACTAATGTATAATCTTGTAACAAAACTGCACCATCACCTCTGGTAAGTCTTAATTTACTTATGTCTGAAATAAGAATAATAATAATGCCCATGCTGCTGGTAACGGAGAGGTTTAAAAGATACCACTGTAGCTAATGGCTGGACCTAGTCGGTATGCAATAAAACAAGAGTCTTCCCTTTGGTCCAAGGAGACAGCCTAGAAAAACTGACTTCAGTGTTTAAAAACAAACAGGAAAACAAAGAAAAGTGGGACAACAATGCCCCCAGACTTTGCTTAGAGGAAGGCTCAGAATAATTAAAGCAAAGTCATGCTGGTGCTCTGCCCGTCTGTGCTTATCACTCAGCTCCTTGGCACAGTTCTGCATTGTCTTTACCTTTGTCCCCTACCGGCTGCAGATAGCGCCGGTGACAAATTGCTGTTTCCATGAATCACAGGGCTGTTAATCCCCACCGTGTCTCCTTAAAACACATCCCTGCATATCGCGTGATGCTGTGCTTTCTTTACAAATCTTTTAGTTGCCTAGTTACTGGGCTAATATTGATAATACCTGCTGCATTGCGTACCCAGCTCCTCTCTGTGGTATGCGGGGTCCCCAAAGCACCCTGTGGGCATGCGTCTGTCCCCAAACTGCTCCATGGGAGTTTTTCAAAAGATAGGCTTCAGCTTTCTCTGTTCTCAATACCTCATACACATCAAGACGTGGCCCATTAGGGGCGCCTGGTGGCTCGGTAGGTTAGCCATTCGACCTTGGTTTCGGCTCAGGTCATGATCTCACAGTCCTTGAGTTCGAGCCCCGTATCGGGCTCCATGCTGATAGCATGGAGCCTGCTTGGTTTTCTCTCTCTCTCTCCCTCTCTCTGCTCCTCCCCTGCTTGGGCTCTCTCTGTCTCTCAAAATAAATAAATCAGTTAAAAATTTTTAAGACATGGCCCATTATAAGCACCAAGGCAGTTTGGATGACATGGATGTGTCCCAAATTTGGGACCAGAAGTTTATAATCTTAAGAGTCTTTTAGAGTCTTTAATTTTTTAAAGAGTTTACGTTTCCATACTAAAAACAAACCTGCTCATTATTTAAAAGTTGCAAATCATTAGGGGTGCTTGGGTGTCAGTCAGTTAAGTGTCTGACTTCAGCTCAGGTCACGATCTCGTGGTTCACCAGTTTGAGCCCCACGTCGGGCTCCGTGTTGACAGCTCAGAGCCTGGAGCCTGCTTCAGATTCTGTGTCTTCCTCTCTCGGCCCCTCCCCCACTCATGCTCTGTCTCCCTCCCAAAAATAAATTTAAAAAAATATTAAAAATGAAAAAAACATTAAAGTTAAGAGAAGAATAAAACATTATATATCTACATAAATATAGATAGGCATCTTTTTATCTAGATATAAATATACATATATAAGTATAGATATAATATCACCTAAAGATAATCTCTATGAATGCCATGACACATTTCCTCCCAATGTTTTTTTCTATTCATAGTTATTTTTTTAAATTTTGGTGTTTATAAGATAGCACTTACGTGAACCTTTTAAACTATCCTCTCTATACGCATGCTTTCCTGATAGATTCTCTCTATAAACATAATTTAAGTGACTGCATACTACTCCTCTGAGTAGAGGCATCAGCTTCCTTGACGCTTCCTCTAATGTTGTCCTTACAGTGTTTTTAATTTTAAATTGCTTCTTATCATAAGTAATTCTATGACGGACTACATTATAGGGCCCATAAAGCTGCCATTCCAGCAGAAGGAGATAGATCATAAACAAGAAATGTAATAAATAAATGAAATAGTACATAAGGGATAAAGGGGAGAGAGGACAGTAGAGGGACAGTTGCTGCTTTAAATACAGTGGTCAGGGTAGGCCTCACTAAGACTGAAGACTGGCAGGAAATAAGGAGGTCAGACACCCCCAGATCTGGTAGAAGATCCTTTCCGGAAACAAAAAAAAAAAAAAAAAAAGAAGAAGAAGCATGCAAAGGCTTTGAAGTAGAAGAATTAACAAGTGGAGACAAAGATAATTTAGTGTAATTGTGCAGGGTCTTGCAGTCTGTGGCAGAACAGCCCCAGGCTGCTGAGATTCCATCTCAAGTGCCAAAGTTTCCGAACCTGGAAGCATCAGATGACAGAGTGAGCAGGCAGTCTTAACACTGCCCCTAGTCTAACTAAGCCTTCCACAGGTTTCTTCCTGAACACGACCTGCCTTTTCGTAGAGCGTTTGCTTCAGAAAACTTCCAGTCTTAAATTCTTTCTCTGTCCCTTTGAGATGTAAATCTTCTCCCAGACTGTTGCAAGTTTTATAACCCAGAAATGTCTTTCTCAAGGGCCTGGGAGCCATCTTTAAAATATACTCATCTGAGGAGAGAGTGCGCCTACTTCCTAGTCTCATCTCCATCACTAGTCGTGCCAACGTTATCATCTCTCACTTGGAATACTGCAATGACTTCTTAACCAGTCCTCTACGTGTTTACTCCTCATTGTTTATTCTCTATAGAGCAGGCAGAGAGCTCTTTTGAAAGTCACACTGTATCCTTCCTCTACCCAGGAACCTCCAGTTGTTTTCCATTACCCTTTCCATAAATTCCTAAGTCTTTCCTGGCTCCCCAAGGCCCCGCCTACTTCTCTGACTCAACACTATGCTCTTAGGTTCTCTTTCACTCCATCCCAGCCATTTCGGCCAATAACCCATCCACCCCGAGGGCCTCGGACCCTGCTGTTGGTACGGTGCAGATTCTCTGTATGGCTTCCATTCTAACTATTCAGCTACCTCCTGACATATGCTTTCCTCAACCCATCTAATTGCCCCGTCTGAAATGTTAATTTTGTCACTGCAGCTTGCTTTCCTAATACATACCTACCAGGACCAGACATTATGCATTTATTATTGCCTAACTCCGCCTCCTCTCTAGAAGGTAAGTTCCATTTTGTTCACTCCTACATTTTTTGTAGCCTCACAAGTGAACAGTAAGTGTTGAGAGAGTGAAGGATAAGTAAAAGACTCTGAGGTGTCTGGTTGTTTAAAAACAATGGTTCAACTTCCTCAGTTTACTTATCCACCAAATCCTTTTCCATGTAACACTTCTCAATATGGAGCAAAATCAAAAGCACAGATAGTGGCAGCTTAAAGGTGGCTGAAAGATCTTTGATCTTGCTCTCATCATGAAGCAGGGTCTATGTTGTCTCTACTTGAATGTGGGTAGTCCCTACGATCGCTTTCTGCAGTAGAATGTGGCAGAAATGGTGCCATACCAGTTTTCTGGGTGCAGATTGTAAGAAACTGTCAGCATCCACCTCCTGCCCCTTGGAAAACTCTCTTAGAGCCCTGAGGTGCCATATGCCAAGTCTGATTATCCTGCTAATGCCGTGCTGGAAGGGTGTGCACCCATAGGTGCTCCAGTCAGCAGTCTCAGCGGAGCACAGCCTTCTAGCCATAGTCCCAAGGCACCAGACAAATGAAAGTAGGTATCTTGCACTCTCCACACCAGCCCGTCTGCCAGGGAAATACTACGGTCTCCACTGAGACAGAAGAGAAGGATCTGCTATGGAGCCCAGTCTAATTTCCTCACCACAAAAGCATGAGACGTACGAAAATGATTAATGTTTTAAAAACAACAAACCAAGCTACCTTTGGGTAATTTTTAGGGAGCCATAGATTACTGGAATACTGATACGATCCATTCTTTTCATTTGGAGAGGAAAAAACAAAAAAGACCTGGAGAGGAGAAAGTCACTTTGCCAAGGTGTCTTAGTGGATTCATAGCAGAACTGGGACCAGAACCCCTATCTATCCAGTGTTCTTGCCATGAGCAAAGCGTTTTAGGGGTTGCTCTGGATCCCTTCCTCCTTCTCTCACATGGGCTGTCCCCTTCAGTTTAAAGCAACATTTGTTGAATACACTGTGGGTGTCAAGCCAGACCTGGGAACATGTACATACTCATTTCATTCAGTCTCTCTAGCCAGAGGAGTTCTTTAGGAACCAGCCAGTGTGGACCAGCAAAGAGGGATGTCATCAAAGCTATAAAATGAGAGGCAAGTCCAGCCAGAGTGTAAATTGACCAGAATATATTTCATTCTCCTGGCTGCGAGGCCTCACACTTTTGAATGAATATGTGCTTAACTATTTATAATTGACCTTTGCACAAAGGAACATGAAATTTTTATAGCCCAAAGCTTCATTTATTAACTTTACTGGAGTGTAAAATATTTCTGTTTGCCATAAATTTATACCAGGACAAACAATATATATGCTAATTAGTAGTCATGTCGTTGTCTGCACGCTGTTGTGTTGGCCGGTCATTTCCAACAGGCAAAATAGCAGAATTCAATCGACAGATGACAATTGAATGGCTTGATACTCGCTGTTCAAACAGTGAAGTCTGGAGTGGTGAATTAATGGTGTTCATTATAACGAGTCCATTTCCTTTTCATTTCCTTTATAAATTAGTCCAGGTAACACGCTGAGTCCCTTCAAGAATGGCTCCCGGGAACCTGCTGAGATACACCTGCAAAACCCACAACTCAGCAGAATCCCTCCGGCTCTCATCCTGTGGTTTTCATGTTCCTTCTGGAGTTTCAAAAACTCACTGATGTTTCAGGTGTGGAAGGAACCTTAGAGATCATCTCTACTGGTTTCACAGAGAAGGGGACTGAGACTGAGAGTGGTTAAGCGTGTTGCCCAGGGTCACATAGAAAGGCAGCGTTGGAGTCAGAGCTCAGGAGTAGGTCTCAGTAAAAAATAAAGCTGGGAAACCCCTGAGCGATCATCACTGTGTCCTATCTATTTAAGAGGTGGTAAAATAAAGGATCGAGGAGGACAAGTTCAAATGCTATAGACCTCATGGAGCCTAAACAGAACTTGAGGCTTCACTCTACTCATTCATGTGTCCATCAATTTAAGAGATGTTTACTGAGTACCTACTATGTGCTAGGTGCTGGGGGTGAAATGGTTATCCAAGTACACATAGCCCCTTCCCTCACAGAGTCTAAAATATAGGGCAAGAAATATATATCAATCAAATTGTCACACAAGCATATACTAGCAAAATGTGATGGGCACTATGAGTGTTAGAAGGGTGGGATATGGTCTAGTCAAAGGGGCTAGATATCATATGAGGGCTGAGATTGAATGAATAGAGATTGATAGGTGAAGTGTGTTGAGGTGGGTAAAACATAATTCTAAACAGAGGGAATGGCATGTGCAAGGGGCCTGAGGTACGAAGAAGCTTGGCCCATTACAGTAATTACAGAAAGCTTGTGATGGATGTGTGCCCAGAATGAGAAGGGATGAGTCTGGTAAGGTGGTCCCAGTTTTGATCATATCAAACTTTGTGGGGTTTAGTTCTTTGTCCTAAGACATAGGGAGAGCAAATCAAGGCTTAGAGGGGCATGCAAATGGCATGCAAAAATAGAACACTTTGTTTCCATTGTAGCACATGTTATATTGAATTTCAATGTTGCTCCCATGGTTGGTCCTTAAGTGTAACCATTGCTTGAATCATGTCTATTTCTATCTTATATTTACAGCACCTAGTTCTTGGTATGTAAAGGAAATTTGTTCAGTTCTTGGTATGTAAAGTAAATTTGGAATGCTGCCTGCTGCATGAAAACACAATTTTCCCATCATCACCTACAAAACATTGGCAAAGAAGGGCCGACTGTTTTGTCTTTATATCACATGGATTATTCCTTCCCTTCTCCATCATGATATAAGTGTGAAGATGCAAAATATCCCAAAGCCGATCCTTCTTCGTCTTTGCTAACAACAAATAAGCCATTTTACTTCTCAGAACAATCTTCCAGCTAAATATTTCCCCGGTTATACATAATCTAAAGCCTCATGAAATTTTCTAGGAAAACTTTAGTTCCTCAAGAAAAAGGAAAAATGAAACTGGTATGTCTAGCCAGCCTTCTTCTTGCCTTGATTTCAAATGCAATGGGTGGAGCTGCAGCAACCATCTTGTGACTAGGAGGTGACAAGGAAATGACAAACAGAACTATTAACATACAGCTACCAGTCTCCATACTGTCAAGCCCTTACTCTGGATCCATATTTGACCAACGAAAATAAATTTCTGTTAGTTTTAGCCCTCTGGTTAGGCTTTCGGTTACTTGCAGGCAATCGTAGTTCTAGCTGATAGAAAGCTCTAACAAACTGCCTGTCACAAAATAGAAACTCAGTAACTATTCACTCTCTTCCAGACGCAGGCCACCCCCTTTTCCACCAAGCTATTTTTCTTATGCATTTCTCCACGTTTTGCTCTCTTCATTTGGTTTATCACGTGTATTCAAATACTGGAGATAGAGATGAGACAGAGATAGAGATATGGATAGAAATGAGAGAGGGAGAAATAGAAAGAGAGAATGAGGAGAAAGAGGTTACCCTGGGAAGCTTAAAACCCTGTTGGAAGATGAGGGACTTGCACAGGTAAAATAATAACACCATACACAAACCTGCTGAGAAATGGGCACAAGGTCTGTGTTGCAAATCCCATCTTGCCATCAACAACAGCAGAACTTTGGAAAGTCACATCACCATCTGGGATCTCTATCTACATTTGCAAAATAAGGAGGCTTAGATCATCTCAAATGCAGTACTTCTCAAAAGATATTCCACAAACCACCACATCTAAGCCCCCGATGAGGCTTGTGAAACATAGACCCCTGGGTCTGGACTTAGAGTCTCTGGGACTGAGAATGAATGATGGGCATCTCAAGCATGCTCCTGCAGTTGTTACAGCACTTGAGACCCATTGTCAAGTTCTATTCTTGATCTAGGATTCTCTGATTTACTTGGGACGAAGTACAAACTCTATATTTTAGATGTGCAGTTAAGGCAGAGGCCTGATGCTTTAAAGCATTGTTTTAATTGACTTAAGATGATTGAGAGCTAAGGCTCCAGTGCAGCTGGAGGTCCCAGCTCCTCCCGAACAAGAATCAAAGTTTAGTGACAATTGCTGAATTAAATTATAGGAATCTCCACGGTGTTTGCTGCTGGAGCTGTTCACAGTGTTGTCAAAACACCCTCTGTGCATATGTATCTGTGTGGATGTATGTTTGAACACATGCATGCCTGGGTATAAATATATGCATGGTCACATATGGATGTGCACATGGGCTATCCACAAACAGACTAATGTTTGTGCATAGGGATCAAGTATGCATCGCTATATACAGCTACATGTGCTTACAGACACACATTTCTGAATATTTGTACTTACACATTCACACGAGATTACACATATGTATATAAATGTACCATGTTTTGCACCATTTGTTACTGATTTAAAACCGAGTTGTGAATAGAAAATAGTAAAAATCTTTGTTTGATAGTCCCCGAGGTGTGGGAAAATAGAAGAGACTATTGGACAATTTGCAGAGGTTAGACTCAGGACGTTAATTTCATTTAGTTTCTTGAAATATCTTCTTATAAAGGTTTTTTTTTTTGGGGGGGGGAGGTTGTGTTTATTTTCAATGAGGACAGAATGCTGGGCTTCTTGTTCCAGCACTATGCATAACACATTGGATATTCTTGGGCAAGTCATGTGATCTCCATGGGCCACAGTTTCCCATTCTTCTTCTATAGTCTTAGAGTCCCTTGTTCAAACCCGAATGACAACATTTACAGTTTGTGTCTATTTTCCTTAGACTATTAATGTCCCTTTGGTAATAGGAACTACATCTTATTCAGCTCCATTTTCCCAATGTCTATGAGAGAACCTAGCATGTTATAATGGTGATAGTGATGATGGTGGTGATGGTGATGGTGATGGTGATGATGATGGTGGTGATGATATCACTGATGAGGATAGTGATGATGGTGATGGCGATGATGGTGATGGTGATGATGATGGTGATGGTGATGATATTACTGATGATGGTGATGATGGTGATGGCGATGATGATGATAATGGTGATGGTGATGGTGATGATGGTGATGATATTACTGATGATGATGGTGACGATG